AGGAGTCAAGCCTGGTAGCTCCCATCTGTAATCCCAGAACTCTGAGAGGCTGAGGCACGAGGAGCACAAATTGAAACCCAGCCTGGGCTTATCAAGATCTTGTCTCAAAATTTTAAAAATTTTGAAAAGGGCCGGGGATATAGCTCAGTGTGTAGGCTCTGGGTTCAATTTGCAGTATCCATTACAAAAAAGAAACCCTATACAGATTCTTTGCATAAGCTGAAATATGATCCTAAAATTCATAGAAAAAAGCAAAGGATCTAGATCCAGATGTAGAATAGGCAAAATAATCTTGGAAAAAAAAAAACCTGGAAAATTCACACTTTCACTTCCAAACCTTACTACAAAGCTATAGTAACACATATTATGGCATCAGCATAAGGATTGACATTAGCCACTGAAAAAGAATTAATAAGAGGACTTCCGGGAGAACATGGCAGACAGATAACAGCAGCTACGGAGGCTCTCTGAAAGACTCAGCTCATAATTCAGGAATGGTGCGGAGTAAGGAGTCATAAGCAGGTGGAGATATGTTCTGCTGACCCAGGAACGAACTGGGCTGAGACAAACCAACTTGGAATGCAGTCCTGGTGCTAGAACAGGAACAGAAAAGCCTCAGTGTGGAGGCTGGAGCCCCCGCCATTGGAAGCCTGGATTTGGGTTTCCTGCCGCGCAGTAGCTGCGTCTACATCTACTCGGCAGGGAGAGAGACGAGCGGAAGCTCTGAGAACAGGAATCAGTGAACGGAGTTGAGAGCGGGACGGGCGTGGAGCCATGCACTGACTTGTGGTGAGGTGAGTGAGAGAAACTGACACTCTACCACAGTTTGACTCCAGCGGAGGACATTCTGGGACTGGGCAGACTTGTGGGAGCAGGGCGCTGTGGCGACTTCAGCCACGTACCCCCCTCTCAAGCGGGATTGGTGAGCAGTGCCTAGCCTATGTGACGCTGCTGGCGGACCCAGTAGACTAGCCAAACCCAGATCCCAGAGCCTGAGGGTGGCCTGGAGGGGTGGGCCCCGTGTAGGCTGCCGGGTCCGTAACTCCCTGGTGCATTGCGGTGGGCAGGAACACCTAGCCGGTGCAATTTGCTCAGGCTGTGGCTGACAGAGAGGGAAGCTGGGCCTCCTATATAAGCTTGCACATATAAGGAACAAAGAATATGGGAAGAGGCAGCAACAAGAAAAGCTCCTCGGCCCCCAATCCTGAGAAATAGGTAATAGCGGACACCGCACCAAGAGACATAAAGCGCCATCTAGAGAGCCTCATAAATCAGTTCAGGAATGAAGTTATCAATGACCTGAAGCTAGAAGTAAGCAGAATAGTTAGAGAAATGCTAAGCACCACCCAAGAAAAAACAGATGGTGGAATGGAAGAACAGAAAAAGAGGGGAGAATTGTTGATGGAGAAAATAGAGAAAGCACAGAATTCGTGAAGCAGGCTCAAAGGGACTACCAAGAAACTAAGAAGTCTATTGAAAACTCGCATAACAGCTTGAAAGAAACTAAGGACAGACTATCTGAACTGGAGGGCAGATTTGTGAGAATGAAATGAAAAACTTCTTAAAAGTAACAAAGAAACAAACAGCAATAATACAAAGACAAGAAGATGATAAGAGGATCCATAACTTAAGAATTAAGAACATAAAAGAAGAAGTAGGGACACAAACAAATGAACTACAAAAGCTACTCACAGAAATAATCCAGGAGAATTTTCCTAATTTAGCAAAAGGTAAAGATACTCAGATGTATGAGGCATACAGGACCCCAGCCACCTACAACCCAAACAGAGCAACACCCAGGCATATAATAATAAAAATTCCAGAAATTCAATAGAAGAACAGAATATTAAAAGCTGTCAGAGACAAGAAACAGACCACTTACAAGGGAACACCCATCAGAATTACAGCAGATTTCTCTGCACAAACCATCAAATCACGAAGAGCATGGGGAGAAATAATTCAAGCTTTGAAAGATAATAATCTCCAGCCAAGATTGAGATATCCTGCACAACTGTCTCTGGAAATTGATGGAAAAACAAGGTGCTTCCAGGATAAAGAGGAACTGGGGGAATTGCAACCACCAGTTCAACTCTACAGAGAGTATTGCAGGATATTCTAAAAAAGAAAAATACAAAGAATCCAGAAATAGTGGCGGGGAGGCCACAATGAATGGAGCAGAGAACAAAATGAAGAAGACAAACTGACAACTAATGACAGAAAAAGAGCTCAACAGAAATGAGGCAGAGAAGATTGGATGATAGGAACAGCTATTTTGGAGAAAATGACATCTTAATAGGTAATACTGATTTAGTATCATCTTATTTTGAAGTCTCATCAAATTTTTGTTCTTCTGTCTCCATTGGTCTAAACAGGTTGTATCTTATTGGATTTTATTATGTACGATAGTATAAGCAAAAACTTTTAAAGACAAGGAGATTATACAGAAACCATTGTTCATTTTCTGTTATTTGAGTCTAAATACCCTGTAATGCTGTCATTCTCTTAAATGGTTTTACATTGTTTTGATATATTTAATGCTACAATATACGAAGTTGTACTCAAGGATTTCAAGGAAAGAGACAATATGATAACTACTTTTAGGTCAGGATTATCTGGTGGTGAAACACTATTCTGCTTAAATGGTTATGTTTTGATCTGCGCTGATTTGCTGTTATGCCCTCTTTTATCTCAATCTCCACTCCATTATTTACTTTTTTATTTTTATCCTTTTAATTAAGGTAAAAATAAATAAAAATATCAGGATATATTTTAGCAACCCACTTTGACTTTCCATTATCTTGATTTAAAGCCCTGTATTACTATCACCATCTTGTTTTTGACTGATGTCCCCCTATTCTGCTTTGCTTGATAGTACCAGGTTCGAAAGTTTAGGCAACGGCTGTGAAGATAGTGAGATTCATTATGACGCCCATTCTCGATGACTTTTATCTACTTTTGAAGACCTACAATGTCTCCAATGTTTTGGTTTTGTCGGTTTGGTTCTTTACTGTTTTGTTCAATTTTATTATAACTGATGATATAGGCAATTCTATTAGAGATAGCGGGAGGCATTATGGTAACCATTATTGATCACCTTGTATTATGCTTTTACATTATCTATTATGTCCACCCTTTTGATTTGATTGACTCTGTTTTGTTATGTCACATTTGGTTCTACTCCCTTCCAAAAAAGTAATAAGAACTGTGGGAGTAACAAAACCCAAAATGTGTAATTGTCATTGTACAAAAGAGAGGAAAAGAAAGTGCTCTAAATGATATAACTGCATGTATATTTAAGTGTATATGATAGAAAATGATATCACAGAGTTTTATTGGATCATTGAACAGAACTGTTTGCAGTCTCACTGTTGGAAGGTCCACTTTACAAGCTTTAACTTTGTGACTTGAACAATTATTTCTAAAATGACAGTATGTAATCCATTAACTAGTGATTTCCTACTGTTTATTTTTTTCTGTAAATCTGTATAACTTGTACCCTTTCTCTGCTTTTTTTTCTCCTGAAATAAAATTTTTTAAAAATACACAAGTAAGGAATTAATAAGAGTTCAGAAAATACAGATAAATCAGAGTTCACCTTTGTACTGTAAGCAATGCTATCAAGAAAGAAATTAAACCAGAATACACAAAATAAACCATCTTAAATCTCAAATCTGACAAGTGATTGGTATCTAGAATATATAAGGAACATGTTCACTCAGTAAAAACAGACAAACCAATTTAAAAATCAGAGAACTCAATTTAAAAAACAGACAATCTAATTTCAAAATGCGTCAAGAATTTAAGCACATATTTCTCTATAGAAGCTATACATCCAGGTGGTAAACATAAACAGGCACTCACACTCAGTCACTGGGTCAAAACAAATTAAACCACAATGAAAACCAACTCAACAAGAGTTGACAAGAATGTGAAGAATATGAGAAGGAGATAAAAATAAAAGAATCAAGAAGTGTGATGTGCATGTCCCAACTTCCCAGGATGAATGTAATCATTATGTGCTGCATACATGGACTAATAAATATTTTTAATTCATTTTTTAAAATACAAAAAAAAAAAAAAAAAAAGCCTGGATTGATGGTGCACTCCTGTAATTCCAGCACTAGGGAGGCAGATTGTTGCAAATTCAAGACCAGCCTGGGCTAAAATGTGAGCCTAAGGCCAACCTGAACCAAACAGCAAGACCTTATCTCAAAAAAGACAAAAAATAAAAAATAAATAAAAGATAAAGTGGAGAATGTGGCACCTTCACACATTGCTGGAGGGGACATAAACACTCTGATTTGCAAAAAGAGTATGACCAGCCCTTTAACATGCTACCAAGTGATCCATACGTTGGCATATATCCAAGAAAAATGAAAACCTTTGTCTAAAGTAAAAGACAATCTTCCCCTAGAGAAGTAAGAACATAGGAGTAGAGGGGAAGAAAAGAGGTGGAGACAGGGAAGAAACTAATCAATATATATGTATGTGCAGCATACAAAAATGAATTGCATTATTCTATATCCCTATCATGCATTAATTTAAGAATGCCTACATAGCCGGGTGGAGAGACACAGAGCTATAAATCTCAGCACCCTGGGAGGCTGAGGCAAGAGATTCACACGTTTAAATCCAGCCTGGGCAAGTTAGCAAGACTCTTGTTTCAAAATAAAAAATAAGCCAGGCTTAGTATCTCATGCCTGCAATTACAGCACTCAGGAAGGCTGAGGATTCCAGTGATCAATGCCACCCTGGAGCACATAGTGAGTTCAAGGCCCACTGGACTGCATAGCAAAAGTTTTTTTCATAAACAGCAAGCTAAAAAAAATTATGTTTCCCAGAAAACCATGCTCAAGATCAATGAAGACAGCCAAGGTTAGCTCAGTGGCACAAGCAGCTGCATGGCATGCGCAAGGTCATGAGTTCAATCCCCGGTATAAAAAACCAAAAACAGTAACAGAAAGATCAATGAAGACATGAAGAACCTTTGTTAACCTTACCCAAGAAAGCCAAGTTTCTATAGTTCTCCAGCATCACGTCTCGATAGAGTTCTGTCTGAAGTGGGTCCAGCAGCTTCCACTCTTTCTTGGTGAAATCTATGGCCACATCCCCGAAGGTTACCAAGCTCTAGAATAACAACACATTGATGTAAACCACAGACCAACCCCTGCAATGTTCCTGGGAAGCTTAGGAGCAACATACGACACTGGAAGTGCAAAGCCTGCTTCACAGTGACGGCAGGCAGGACTGAAGACAACCAGGGTTCAGTGATCCAAAACTTCCCTTCTGTATTTGTGCCCACTCCCTAAGTGATCTTGTCTGATCTTCTGAATTTAAAGCATCTTAACACATAATGAAATACACATCTCCAAGTTTGAGAGTTTACACTCCGGTTTGTCTACTGTCTCCTACCTCTCGTTTAACTTGAACACAATGCAAGCATGAGAGAAATACAAGCTTAATGAGTAAATCATTTTCCCTGGAATGATTACACAACAGTCCTGTAGTGTCCTTCTTGCATTTTATTTGTTTACTTCTTTTGTTTTGTTATTATTTGTTTTTGTTGTTTCTTTGAGACAGAGTCTCACTGCATAGTCCAGGCTGGACTTGAATTTGCTATGCAGCCCAGTCTTCAAACTTGCAATCCTCCTGCCTCAGACTCGCCAGAGTCGGAATCACAGGCATATGCCACCACAACTGGCCTTATAACTATTACTGTACCTAACACTAAGCAAGAGGAACAACAAAGAAAGAAAGGAGAGAAATCTTGACTCACCTGTGATGCACAGTAAATGTTTTCCACCTTTGGGATCCTCTGATGTGTAAAAGTAGGAGTTTGAAGAGGCACTGGAGAGAAAAAAGACGTGAGGCTCCACTTGCACACAGCAGCACCACACTCAGAGCCTAGAAGCACTGCCTATATTAGTCAGCTTCTCATCACTATAATAAAGTACCAGACACAAACTAACTTTATAGTTAGCCCAGCTTTGAAGGCTGAACTTTAGAGTATTACAAAGTTCTGCTGATGGCCCCTCATGCTGTGGCTGTCTCATCTTTCAGTGGATATCAACAGTGGGAAGGGCCACATTACAAAAGGGAACCACAGGGGCTGGGGATTTAGCTCAGCGGCATAAGCGCCTGCCTTGCAAGCAGGCAGTCATGAGTTCGATCCCGGGACCGATAAAAAGGAAAAAGACCAAAAAAAAAAAAAACAAAAAAAAAAAAAAACAAAAAAACAAAAGGGAACCACAGACAAGCTGAGCAGGACTAGGTTCAGGTCTTTATAATAATGCTCTCATGAAAAGTTATAAGGACCCCATGAGAAATACTTTAACCTATGTGTGTCCAATCTTTTGGTTTGCCTGGACCACCCTGAGGGAAGAGGAATTATTTTGGGCCTCATGTAAAATATACAATAAAGTTAATGAATATAAGTAACAAAATTTCTTTTAAAATTATATCTATTTAACCATTAAAAGAAGAGGACATGTTGCAGGAACATCATATGTTTAAGACTGGCCTGGGCAATTTAGTAACTTAGTAAGACCCTATGCCCAAATAAAGAAATTTAAAAATGGACTAGGTATGTAGCTCATGCAAAGGCCCTGGGCTCAATCTCTAGTACTGTAAAAGAAGAAAAGAGAAGGGAAGAAAAGATAAGGGAAGGGAAAGGAAACGAAGGGAAAGGGAAAAAAGAAACATGAGAAGAGAAGAGGAAAGAAAAGAAAAGAGAAAAGGGGAGGATAAGCAGTCATGGGTCAAGCCTAGCTTAAGGTAATACCCTACCTTACCCAGAACAAGCCACTAGGCTTTTTTTATGCCTTTTCTTTCTTTTTGATTTTTCTTCTAGTGCTGAGGTTGAATAAAGGTCTGGTGTATACTTGGCAAATATTCTTTCACTGACTACATCCCCAACTCTGTTTCTGGAATTTTGCACTTAATATTTTCAGACCACAGTTGACCATGCATACTGAAACCTCAGGAAGAAAAACTACAGGTAGATAATACGGGGTTTGTGTATAATGCTAATAAAGGTAGGTAAAGTACAGACCCAATCTGAAACAACAGAAAACCTAACCTGTAGTTGCTAAGGTATGAAATAAGAAGGTGATGATAGCAAAATAGTAAGCCCTGTGTGGATCTCTCCTCCGGTATTAAGCTTGAACTTTGTAATGTCAAAGAAAAATAGATTCACATTCAGTGATACTGGATGGTTTAGTATTTTAAGGAATGATTCCATAATGATTGAAAACAATGATAAGCAAAAGTTGTCATTAGCTATGCAAAGTGGGACAGAGACGATGGCTCCAAGTATAAATGCTAAAAGGGGAAATAGATTTTTTCCCTCAGATCTTAGGAAAGCAGAAAGTGACAGGTAAAAGACGAAAGATCATCAGGGAAACCTGAAGCCACTCAGAAAGAAACTCACACTAAATGTTCTGTGCTTTCATCTGGTTGTGGTTCAGATCTACAATGTCCCCTACCAGTCTCCTGGGTTCACAGGTAGAGCTTGTGGAAGGTGACTGAGGATGAGGACTCCAACTCATCTGTGACTCACCCATTAACAAGATCACAGCTTGATGGCATATTTAGGAGGTGATGGGAATTTGGAAGGTGAAAGGAATGGTTCATGGAGACGCGTTTTTGCAGACTGTATTTTGTCCCCGTTTTCTTCCTCTCTGGCATTTTACCTTTTTGCTTTCTGGCTACCTTAAGGTGAGCAGTTTCCCTGAGGTGCCCTCCCATGACATTTCTTCCTCACCAGAAATCTAAAGCAAAGGAGCCAGCTGATCATGATCTGAAACCCTGAGCCAAAATAAACTTTTCTTCCTTTAAGTTGTTTTTGTCAGGTGTTTGGTCAGAACAACAAAAAATTAACACACTTCCAGAGCTTAAAGCATTTTTAAAACAATCACAATGGACATTTTTATAATGTAGCACCCCCTTCCCCAACCAGAGCTGTTACTCAAAACACTCACATATGTCTGCTGCTCACCTGAACAAGGGTCTTGATGAATTTTTTTCTCCACAGTCTTTAGGTGATGTTCCTGTTCCAGTTGGGTGATCAGAGTAGGTTTGCTGAGCTTATGTCCTACGAGGAAGAAGGAAACAAGAGAGGATATTAAAATGTAAACAACTACCAAGACATTGTGGCAACTGGGTTTTTGAGGCTCTGGAGGTAGATCAACTATGGGTTTAGGAATAGCAAAATGAGCCAGATGTGGTGCTGAATGCTTATAATACCAGCACTCAGGAGGTTGAGGCAGAAGTACTGCTTAAATCCAAGTGTTGGAGACCAGCCTATACAGCATAAGATCATCTCAACAAATGATAAAGAATGGGACAATGAAGGCTTTGGTTAATTCCCTTTGCTACTAAAACAGACAAAATAATTAAAATCAATTCCTTCAGATCTCTAGGAATTAACTAAAATCACAGAACAAAGAGAAAATATACAGCCATGAGAAATCACTGAACTTTTGTGAGAGAGCAGATTCTGTGACAATTAAATATAGAATCATAGAAATCCCTGGGCATCCTTATTGCTACTGAATATAATGTCTAGGGATGGTCAGGCCCAGTATTTGCATATCAGCTAGGAGGCACATCCTCTCACACGTGATCTTTACACAACTTGTACTACCTAATGCAACATAAATGCTACATAATGTTATGCTGCATTGATTATGCAATAATGATAAAAAAGTATACACATATTCAGTACAAATTGCTTTCAAGTATATAAGATCAGCAGTTGGTTGAATTCATTCATGTGGAATCCATGAAGACTGAGGTTTCATCACTTGTTTCTTACTCTGCCTCCCTCCCCACATCACTAGCATGGCAGCCAAAAGCCAGCACCACCAAAGCCAACAGAGAGGTAGCCTTTTTAGAAGCTGTTAAAAGCACCAAATCCAGGCATGAGAGCGTATCTTTGCAACTCCAGCACTTTGGAGACAGAGCTGGAGGACTGTAGATTCAAGCATGCCTGGACTACAAGACTATATTTAAATAATCCTAACAATAATAATAATAACGTAAGTATGCATTTTTTTTTCTGAACATGTAGCTGCCTAGAGAATCTTTACTTTCAGATTATCATGGCTGTTTAGTTTTACTCAGAATTTAACAAGAAAAAATCCTTACCAACTAAGTACAAATGCTTCTCAGTTTACATTATGGATCTGTCCCAGTAAAATCATCATAAATTGAAAGTATAATTTGTGGGGCTGGAGGTTTAGCTCAGCGGCATAAGCGCCTGCCTTGGAAGCAGGCAGTCATGAGTTCAATCCCTGGTACCGATAAAAAGGAAAAAGAAAAAAAAAAAGTATAATTTGCCAAAAACAAGCTAGGCATGGTAGGACATGACTATAATCCAACAATCCAGACGCTAAAGCAAGAGAATCACTACAAATTTGAGGTCACGTTAAGCTACACATTGAATTCCAAGCCAGAATGAGCTAACCAGCAAGATTCTGACTATAAATAAATAAATAAATAAATAAATAAGAAAAACCCTATTTTAAACAAATTAGTAAATATTTCAAGTAACTGATTGAACACAGGTTAACTGTTCCTTTTTTTTTTTGTCTTTTTCGTTTTTATCGGTACCAGGGATCGAACTCTCGACTGCCTGCTTGCAAGGCACGCACTTATGCCACTGAGCTAAATCCCCAGCCCCAGGTTAACTGTTCCTTATCCAAAATGTGCAGAATAAAAACATTTCAGAACATGGAATCTTTTTGATTTTGGAATGTTTGCACACTTAGAAGCTGAGCATCTCTAATCCAAAAATTATAATCTAAAATGCTCTAAAATCCAAAACTTCTGATCTAACATGAGGTTCATAAATAGCCTCTGGAACATTTTTATTTCAGATTTTGGGGATTATGGATGCTTGACCCATACCTGTGTCACAAAAATGCTGATAACACAAAGTGTTACACACAAAACTTCATTAGCTGTTTATTCTTCCAACTGCATTATTCACTTATGGCTGCAGCTCTCTGACCCATACACAGTGAGAATACGGCACTGCATATCATAGATTAAAGAAAGATAAAAATTCTAATTTCAAAGAATGGTTGAGACTAAATGGTTATCCCTTCTACACCACTGTAAAATCAAAATTGTTCATCAGCTAGGGGCAGCGACACTCACCCACAATCCTAGCTGCTAAGGAGGCGAAGGCTGGACAACTGAGACTGAGAAAACAAGCTTGGATAACATAGTAAGACCTTGTCTCAAAAACAAATTAACTCAAACCAAAAAGAGTCTGCCTGTACTGACAAAAAGTAATACCCTGCTGGCCACATGACCAGATACTTACAGGCTATTATTTTACTTAGTGCTGACTAGGAATTTAAAAAGAAAACATGGAGAACTAGACAATCACAAAGAATGTTGGGAATCTCCAGGTTCCTTCCATGGAAAGGTTGACCATGAAGATATAGGACAAGAGAAACCAAGTCACTTACCCGTCACTGACTGTAAGACTAACTCAAGCAAGAAATGGAAGCTAATGCTACATTATGTTACCTGAAGCATCAAGGAATCACGAAGACTTAGGACACATTTTCTGAAAAATCTCCTTACTGCACAGACAGAAATCAAAAGGACCTGAGGATGATCCCTCAGAAGTCAGGATTAAAAATAAGAGGAAGCACCTTTGAGGGAACAACCTTTCAGAGCTGGAGATGGCTCTGCAACAGAAGCTTTGTGAAGCATGCATAAAACACTGGGGTCAATCTCCAGTGTTGTAAAAAACAAAAAACAAAATAATCTGCATCACAAGTTGGTTGGGACTCTCTCATCCCAGAAAGCTATGCTCAAGAACAATGAAGAAATGAAGAGTTTGTGTGATGCTTACCCAGGGAAGCCAAGTTTCTGTAGTTCTCTAGCATCACGTCTCGGTAGAGTTCTCTCTCAGATGGATCCAGCAATTCCCACTCCCCTCTGGTAAAGTCTATGGCCACATCCTCAAAGGTTATGGAGCTCTAGAATACCAACACATTGGCATAAACCACCGACCAACCCCACCAGTGACCCTGGAAATATTAGGAACAACAACACTGGAGGTGAAGACCTGCTTCATAGTAACTGTAGACAGGACAGGGTGCATCCAGGGCTCAGTCCTCAGAACCTTTTCTTCTCTATTCCTACTCACTTCCTAAGTGATTCCATTCAGGCTCCAGGATTTCTTTCTCTTTTTCTTATTTTTGGTTTTTGACACAGGGTCTTGCTATGTAGTTCAGGCTGGCCTTGAACTTGCTATGGAGCCCAAGGTGACTGAATTTCCTACCTCAGCCTCCTGAGTTGGTATTATAGGCTTGTACCACCATTCCTGGTTCCAGTCTCCAAGATTTGAAGCAGCACAGGAGCTACATATGACAGCCTATGTCTCTAATCATAGTATAGGAGAGGCTGAAGTAAGAGGACTACAATTTCAAGCCTACTCTGGACAGCTTGGCAAAAGTCTCTAAAATTAGAAAGGCTGGGATTATAGTTCAGTGATACAGGGCTGGCCTAAAATGTACTAGGCCTTTGGTTCAGTTTCCACAAACACATATGAAAATGGACTTAAACCACCCCTAACACATGATGAAATGTGTGTCTTCATGTCTCCACCTCTAGCCTGTGACATTTTACATTTCTATTCCCTTCCACCTCCAGGTCCATCATAAGAATTGATCATATAGCAAGAATGGGAAAGTGACATGCTTTGTGATTAAATCATTTGCCTCAGAATGAGCACATTTTGGGGGACTAGGTAAGTCCTGAATGTTTCTTTTAATTTCTCTACCAGCACTAAGCAAGAGGAATATTGTGAGTAGTGGTAACATCTTATTGATGATTCTGAAACTTGCGGTCAAAGTTCTGGAGAAGCAGGTTGAACTGTGATACCGCAGGGTGTTAGCAGTCATATTCATGCCAGGACAGGAAGGTATTTTATGAGAAAGACACTATTTTGAGAGGGGGGAAGGTAGGGAGAGGAAAAAGCTGTAAAAATAAAATTAAGAGGCATTACATACAAGTATCAACTTCCCATCATGAATGCAATCATTATCTACAGCAAACTGTACTAATTCATTAAAACAAAATGGAACAGAAAACACCTTGACTCACCTGTGACTCACAACTGATGCTTTCCATTTCTGTGATTCTTTGATGTTCCCAGGAAGGGACTTGAACAGGTAGAGCTAGAGAAGACATTACAGTCCCATGAGGAATGGATGTAGAGTTTCAATTTTCTTAGACAAGGTATGACCATTAATTGTGACATGTCAACTTAATTAGATTATAAAATGTTTAGCAGATGAGTAAAGCTTTTGAATGTGTCTAGGCAGTTAAGGAAGCATGATCTTGGGGAATACATTCATCCCTAGACCCTTCCTCTCTATCCTCCTGCTCAGCTTCACAGCCATCATGAACTCAGCAGCTTTGTTATGCCAAGTCCTCCTGCCATGATGTTCCTGTCTTTGATCCAGCTGACTGTGGACTGAATCCCTTGGAACCCCCTCTCCTGCTTTTAGTTCTGAGTGTTAAGTGTTAGGTCCCAACAAAGAAAAAGCTGATACACAGACAATTCAAATTCAGAAAGGTGGAGCTGTTTTCTTTCCCAATATCATTGAAACCATATATGGGAAACAAAGTATCATCCCTAACATTTCTGTCCCCTTCAACTGCACATATACATTTTTACTCCACAATCTCAAAGGGCAATGAATCAAATGAGCAAACTGAGGAGCTCAAAGTGATCATCAAGCTCTATACCCTCCTTTTCTCAATTTAGCTCCTCTCTATTCCTCTTCCACAGCCATTAAGCTTCCTTCGTTCGTGCCTGCTCCATAAAGAAGGTAGCCCTCCTTGGGCTAGGGATTTAGCTCAGTGGCATAAGTACCTGCCTGGCAAGTGCAAGGTCATGAGTTCAATCCTCGGTATCACACACACAAAAAAAATAAATAAGAGAAGGTAGCCCTCCTTTAGGCTGAAGCAAATCCATCCAGGACCTTACCAAGTATGATGGATGGATTTGCAGCTGCCATTCTGCAAGTCTACAAGTTAATACACTCAGCAGCCAGGAGAACCAAGGTGCTTCGTATCTTGCTGCCAGCCAGGAAAGGCTCTGAAACAAACATTAAAATTAGGTTGGTGGTAAACACCCAAAGCAACAGGATTAGCAACCTGGGCAGTTTAGCAAGACCCTGTCTCAAAATAAAAAGGGTTGTGGAGGAGCCAAGGATATAGCTCCGGGGCACAGCCCTACCCTGGCAAGCATGAGATAGTGAGTTTTGATCCCTGGTATAAAAAACAAAACAAAAAATGACTGTGGATATTGTTAGGAGTAGAACACTCTGAGATCTATCCCCAGTACTGCAAATAAGTGAATAAAAAGATATTGGCCGTGAACAATCTATCCCTCAGATGTATCCAATTGAATAATTTGTCCCAGGATATTTGTTTCAAGTACTGAGCACTGAACTCAGGAAATTAGCATGCTAGGCAGGCGCTCTACCACTAAGCTACAACCCAGCCTTTTTTATTTTATTTTGAGACACTCTCAATAATGTATACAATATGGAAGCAAATCTTAATGCAGGACCTTAAACTTTGAAACCAGGGGTCAGGGGGAGCTAGGGATGTAGCTCAGTGTCTAGGATATTATAGTACTGATATTTAGTTAGAAATATAAGTCAATTGTACATCCCTGAGTGCCCCAAAAATGTACTTAACCCTTTTCAACTGATTTTACCAGTACTCAAGAAAATAAAATATGTAAAAATATTTCCCAAGTAATCCTGACAGGATAAGCAGATCTCCACATGGAAGATGAACTTGATCATCCACACCATATATGAAGCTGTCTTAAAATGAACCATTCACCTAGAGTTGGGAGTGATGGTGCACAGCAAATCTGAGGCCAGCCTGGGCTACATAGTGAGCAGAGACCCTGTCCCAAACAAGCAAACAACACATCCTGCTAATCCATATGTACCATACAAAACTAAACCTCCCACAGAATCATGATAGGAATCAGTACATTTTCATGGCCTTAAACAATGCTTTAAGTATAACACCAAAAATGCTACTGCTAAGGAAACAGGAAGATAAACAGAACTTCTTCCAAATTAAAAACTTTGGTGATTCAAAGTACATCTCTTGCAAAGTATACAAATATCAAAACATCATTTAGTATCCTACACATAAAAATTTTTAAGTTTTTATGCATCAGTTAAAAATAAATTTAAGGATAAATCAATAAATAAATAAATAAATTTAAGGGCTATGGATGTGTACGTGAGAAATCTGGGGTTCAAGCCCCACTATTGGGTGTGGGGAAAACAAAATTAATTACTTAAAAAGTGGAAAAAAAGACTGCTAGAATTATAACAAATGTAGTTTTCCAATTGTTGCTCTGCCCTACCCCACTCCATCCTCGTGTTGGGGTCTTTTGTACTGAATGAACTACAACTCCTGCCTTTTTTGTTTATTTATTTTTGCCTTTTTCCTTTTTTATCGGTACCAGGGATCAAACTCACGACTGCCTGCTTGCAAGGCAGGCACTTATGCCGTTGAGCTAAATCCCCAGCCCTCTTAAGTTTGTTTTTGAGACAGTATTTTCATTAAACCCAAACTGGGCCTGCCTCAGTTTCCCAGAGTGCAGAGATTACAGGCCTGTGCCATTGCCCCAGGCTTAGTTTCATACCACCAGTCTGATGGTTCACAATGTTCCACTCACCACATATGGCTAGTTGATATTTACGTTGGCAGAGAAGTGACATACAGCCTGGCGTGGTGGTGCACACTGGTAATTCCAGAGTTCTAGGAGGCTGAGGCAGAAGGATCACGAATTCAAGCCCCGCCTGGGAAATTTAGTGAGTTAGCAAGACTCTGTCTCAACATAAAAAATAAAAATGGGTTGGGGATGTAACTCAGTGCCAAGATCTTAGATTCATTCCCTCCCCTACTCCCGAAAGTGATACACAGAAACCAAAAGGCAGGTTGAAACATTCGGAGACAGCTCAATAGGTGACCGCATGGCGCTCACCTTGAATTCCGATGGAAGTTTGTAGGCGTGGCTCACACTGTCAGGTCTGTGACTGGTGGAAACCTTTTAGGAGAGCCAAAGGTTTACTTAGCAATTTAGATTGCAATTCACTAAGTACAAGTACAGAGGTGCCTTTAGACAAAATTTAAAATATATCCCTAGGCAGCATTAATCCAAAATTAGTCCATCGCCAGGAGCGAAAGTAAAGGGAAGCAGGGGCTGGGGATTTAGCTCAGCAGCATAAGCGCCGGCCTTGCAAGCATGTGGTTGTGAATTCAATCCCTGGTACCGGTAAAGATACGAGAAAGAAAGAAAGAAAGTAAAGGGAAGGGGAAGTAAAATGAGTGAAAATGTGTTGCCCATCCAGGTATCAATTCCTCCACAAAGACTGTAATAATGAAATACTACAAATGTGTACAAGTAAAAATGTTACATTTGTTACAAACAAAATTAATTCAATTTAACATACTATACCCAGTAAAGTTACTAGTGATTTAGATATAAACAGACACTAGTGGATCATTGGCATGCCATCCTTCATTCTTTGACTGCTGCAATTAACTGAAACTGAAGAGTAATCTTTCAGCTGTCTTTCTACCAACCCACAGGCTGGAGTCAAAACCAAAAGCATCCTTGACTAAGCCCATAACATCCACTGAAAATCTAAAAATTTAACACGACATATATGACACACACAAGCTTAAGTAGTGGTGGCTTTCCTTACATAAGAATTTCAAAGAATATATCTCTTAAAGACCAAACTAAATGATAACAGGGAACAGGGCAGATAGACCTTTGGAAATGGGAAAGGGATTGAGATGGAAGAAGGGAGATGGGAGCAGAAGGTAAAGTGATGAAAAAAGAACTGAGATGTGTTTTATACGTGTACCAGCTCCCCACAATGAATCTAATCACTGTATACGGCAAACATGGACTAATAAAAGCTTAAAAGCAAAAGGCTTGGCAGGAAGAAGTATGTTATCTACACCGTAGTGTACTTGCCTAGCATCCCCTACCTCAACAGCTGCTCACCCTGAGGGACTGGATCACTTACTCTTACCAGCAAACGATAGCAGCCATTTCTTCACATGTATTTATTAATTAACTCCTACTAATTGAACATATTAATAGGATTCACCATGATATTTCCCTATAGCTTACAGTGTACACTGATCATATTCAACTATTCTTCCATGCACCTCACCCTCCCACCCTCACTTTGCACACTTCAGGATCTCAAACAATTACAATTCTATGAGAAATCTGAAAGTATTCCTTGGTATACCTCTCTTCCCTGCAACTGCGCAGAAATCCACCGAAACTCAGAATTTCTAATTCAAAATCTGTCTTCTCCCCACCACTAAAATCTGATCAATTCAATGGCAATTCTTTTTCCTTTTTCTCACTTCTTATTTTTTAAAATTTTTATTGGTTCATGTTTGCAGTACACAATTATAACATTCATTATGGAATTGGTATAGGTACATAACACATTTTTCTTTTTTTTTTTTTTTTTTATCGGTACCGGGAATCGAACTCACGACTGCCTGCTTGCAAGGCAGGCACTTATGCCGCTGAACTAAATTCCCAGCCAACATTTTAATCCTTTTTACTCCCTTTTTTTCTCCTTCAGTCAATTTAAATGATATATCTTCAGAATTACTATCACGGAGAGCTCTACAACCAACCTAAAATGCTCTTATTTTATTCTCTGAAAGTTCCATTTTTTTCCATGTAATTTTCATCACAATTTGTAAGTCTAGTTTTTTGTTTGCTTATCATGTTTTTCTTTCACTAATTTATCATGTACAAACATTCATGTGAGTTAACGTTTTATTTATTTATTTATTTACCAGAAATAGCACTCAAGACCTTGGGCTTGACAGGCAGGCCACTGAGCTATATCCCCAGCCCTAATTTTGTTTTTTATTTGTTTTGTTTTATTGTGTGTGTTGGTGTCTGACCCCAGGGCTCTGCATGTGTACGGTCTACCATCGAGTTATCCAGGCTTCAGCCTTTTCTTTTTAAAAATATTACAGGTACTTGTACTGGCATGTGGTTAAGTTACATCATAAGTGTTTGCAGTTGAAATGAAGAAGTAGAGGAAGAAGAAGAGGAGGAAGAAGAGGAAGAAGAAGAGGAAGAAGAAGAAGAAGAAGAAGAAGAAGAAGAAGAAGAAGAAGAAGAAGAAGAAAGAAAGAAAGAAAGAAAGAAAGAAAGAAAGAAAGAAAGAAAGAAAGAAAGAAAGAAAGAAAGAAATCAAATTGATTCCCTCTGGCCTTAGAGTTAAACTCTTAACTCCAAAGAAGTCTAGTGATCTGTCTGACTTTCCCCTGCTATTGTTTCTTTCTCAGCCATTTCCGGCCTTGCTTTGTTTAGGGGACCCTCGGGGCTTGCAGCGGCCTCGGGATTTTGCATATGCAGGGACTGCCTGAGAAATGCATTCCACCCACTGCTAATCCCCACCCTTGGCCCCACCACATTCCAGCTCATTACCTGGCGCTATCCTAGTCAAATCTAAGATTGTGCTTTAAATTTCTTTGTTTTCCAAAAGGTTTTAAGTACTCTTAGATTGAGTCCTATTATTTAAAATAACCCACAATCATCTAAATGGTAAGCCTTAATATCTATCTACGATTGCAGCACCAGGAAATGTGGCCTTGTACGTTATGTTTTTCATCGTACATCTGGGATTGAGCAGCCAATAACACTTTCAAAGCTTTGGCAAAGAATGAGTATCTGGAGTATCTGCAGGCCACTGATAGCAAAGCTTACAAGATTTTTTAGTGTGAATACAGTACATTATAAGAATTCCCAAAACAAAACAAACAACAGTGCCTAGCATATGTGAGGCCCTGGGTTTGAGCACCAAGAATGCAACACAAAAAGCAAACAGCAAAATTAATGACTAAAACATATATAATAATAAAACAAACATGGAGGGCAGGAGATATAACTCAGTAGCACAAGAGCCTCCTGGCAAATACGAGGTCACAAGTTTGATCCCCCGTACAAAAAACAAAAACAAAATGAAGTTAAAAAAAACAAACAAACATGAAGCTCACTAGAGAGCTTTAA